GGGGGTTGATAAGGAAAGGGAGAGAGAGGGAGAGAGAGAGAGAGAGAGAGAGAGAGAGAGAGAGAGAGAGAGAGAGAGAGAGAGAGAGAGAGAGAGAGAGAGAGAGAGAGAGAGAGAGAGAGAGAGAGAGAAAGAGAGGTCAAGAGAGAGGTCAAGAGAGGAGATAGAGAAGAGACAAAAGAGAGAGGGAGAGAGGTCAAGAGAGGAGAGAGAGAAGAGACAAAAGAGAGAGGGGGGGGGGGCGAGAGACAGAGAGGAGGGGCGAGAGAGAGCGTCCAAGCAAGAGGGTTACAAGAGCCGTAGAGACGGCAGTGAGTGTTCGGTCGCACCCACTACCCGCATCCAACCACTAATTAGTTTTTCTCCCAAAGAACAAAAAAAAAAGAGGTCCTGTGTGACGCCGGCTGACAAGTCAAAACACTCGAGCACCGAAAGGTGAGTAGACGAGAGCCAGAGCTGACGAGACATAAACATATACATTTTGGTGCACCTTCCGTGACTACTATCATATGCCACCCTACTACGCGCACAATACTACCACCATCAAAATTCCTCTGCCAGTGTAACTTGTGGTACCCTACGGTAGGCCTTCCATGTCCACCGTATCAACCTATCTACCCGCATATTATCATACGATCACCAATCAATTCCGCTATCTTTGTAATGTGTAGTGTCCTGCCCCGTCGTGTAATGGTCGCCACCAACCAACCTGTTTTATCTCACCGGTCGTGCATCTCGACGAGCTGGTACTCGGTCATGTCTTGGCTGTCCCTCAGCTTGCGGGCCGCCTTGAGGGTCTTCTTGAACTCGTACACCAGCTGGGTGGGCGCGCTGCGGGGGGCAGACTTCTTGCTCTTCTTCTCGTCCTTGTCCTTCGCCCGTCGAAAAAGCACAAGCAGCGCAGGACCACGCGGAAGGGCAACGTCACTGATGGTTCGATCCTCGAGAGCGCCCCCCCGCCCCCCCTTGAACAAGCGCAACGGAGATGGACTAGCCAGCCCCTGGTGCTTGACCTCTACCTTTTCTTTGCCTCTGCGAAAGGCACCCTCCAGCGGCTCACATTTTCACGTTAAACGCATACCCCTGAAGCCCCCAAAAAAATGCGGGTGCAAGGGAAAAATTTGGTCCCCTCCCCGCACAGTGTTCGCCGGTCTATTTGTCATGTTACCTTTTTTGTACGCGATTTGCCTCTCCTTGCCCTTTTTCACCACAAGTGACAACAATCCTTTATCCTTGCGCCCCCTCTTCCTGCGTCACAAAGCAGGAACGGCCCAGACGTTCCACCACATTCCAGGTCTCTGTTATCACTGTCACCTCCTTCCTTATCGCTTTCAGCTTTCACCCATCTGTTTCAAACTTGCGTTATTACTCTTCTCCACCAAAACCAAACGTACCGTATACGACACAAGATAACACTCTCCCTGGATCATTTTTCAAAGCTCGATTACTCCACGACGAAGAGGATGCATAAACAAAACGATACGTTTTCGGAGAGCTCTCGACCAGACGGCATCAACGCCGCCGTTTTCGGCGCTGTGGTTCTTTCTACTGTTGATAAGTCGACCTTTGAGAATCAGTCCAGGGTGTGTGTTATCTTGTGTCGTACTCCTATACGGTATGTACGCCCCACCCCCGCCAGCTCCCCTCGCAAAACACGCACACCTTGCTCTTCTTCTTCTCCTTGCTGCTCTTCTTCTTCTCCTTCTCGTCACCCGCCCCCCCCGCGTCCGCGTCGCGGGCAACCTCCTCCGCCACCGCCTGCAGGAAGAGGGGGAAGGACTCGATCTCCCACAGCACGTCGAACGCTGTCTTGGGGTCGTTGGCCTTGAGAGAGTCCGCCAAGATCTGGCCGAGGGGTTGAGACGTTGGGTCGACGCGGCACACAGCTGAGATGTACGGGGTAGCGCGAAAGATACATCCAACGCCTGAAAAAACTCATGGAAAATCCGAGTTGTAACTTCCAGTGTTCCTCTGTTTATGTTGTTATGCCTGGGTGACATCGTCTTGAAGACCCCTCTGAATATTTGCTACCTCCCCGTCCCCCCGATTGATGCCAACCGCTCGCTGCTAGGGTGTGGTAGGACTCACCTCCAGCATCTGGTTGAGCCGGCCGAGCTTCGTCTCGAGCTTCATGCTGTAGAGCATGCTGCGTTCGCGCATCTTGAGCACGTTTCCCAGCTTCTCCAGGTCCCTCTCGATCGTCTCCTGCTCGATGCAGTGATGTAGCAGCGGCAGCGGCAGCGGTCAGGCGACAACCGTGGCAACAACAGCCGGCTTCCATTAGGAGTGACGACGCACAGAGAGGCAGAGACTTGAGGACAGCCTTCTGCAACGACAACCGAGGGAGCGACGCCTTTAGGAAACCCTCCTGTTCGTATGTGGTGTAGTCGGCTAGCACACCTGTTGCTGTTGCAACACATTCTGCGCAAGGACAGCCGCACCACTTGGCCGGGGGTGGGTGGGGGGGGTCGCGGACTGGTCCAAGAACCGGGCCCGTGGGTTGACTCAAGCAGGTGCCGCTCTTGCAACAGCAGCAGGCACCCGATGTAAGTTCTCTCACGCACGCTGCCTTCTGGAGCACAGGTCGTTAGGACCGCTAATTGACCTGCAGCATGTTGTGGTACACATCATTGCATGATGTAGCGTGGTACACATCATTGCATGATGAAGCCACGTACAGCAGTATACGCATACCTCGGCACGTTTCTTCGCCTGCTCAGCCTGGATGGTCTCCTTCTTGCTAAGCTTGCCCCCGCCGCCACCTCCCTTCTTCGCTTTCGACCCACCCCCCTTGGAGCCCTTGCTAGCCGCTGCTTCCGCAGCGGCAGCCTTCTCCCTGACGACTTCCTCCTCCGCCTCCTCCTCCTTGGCTTGCTCCCAGACGGCGCAGGGGTCGAACTCCGACGTCGGCCACAGGTTGCGGAGCCACAGCGGCATGATGCAAACCTTCTCATAGGTGGCCTTGGGCCCGCGGCCGATCTTGCGGTGCTTGAAGGGCATGCCCTCCCAGCGCACGTCGAACCTCTCGTCCTTCTTGATGTTGCTCTGGACCGCCTTTTGCTCCCCCCCGCCCTCTTCCCCAGCTTGAGATATCATCTGAGACATGATGATGCGCGCTGACCTGCTGCTGCAGCTGCAACCAGTGATCGCCTGCTGCAGGACTGGCTCCTCGAAAACGTGGAATTTCCCACTTTCTTGGTAGTGATTCGGTGTTCAATCCCTTCCTTCTACTGAATCTTCTGCTGCCGAAGATGCTCTCCCCTCTTTGCTCTGGCTGCGCAGCTGGTTGCTGTCTGTGTCATGCGCTGTGCAGAGCACAAGGTTGCAAGGAAACGCGGGGCTCCGCATAATCCATGTATTTCATCGGTCGTGGTCTCAGGGGGTGGGGGGGGGCGAGCGCCGTTTGCTCAGCTGTGCCGTAGGTTGCATGACGTGAGATACCATACCCCCTTTGCTGATTTTCAAGGCTCGACTTGTATCTACTCTGCAGCAAAAACACCGGTGACAGCAGTATGTACCGAGAAAAGCCGCGTCTAAACCTCCTTGTACAGAGCTTTCCGAAAAAGGATCCTTTGATTTTGGCATCCTTTTCGCCGTTGAGTTGCATTCGAGCTTCGCAAATCGGTCCGGCGCGGATCCGTGGGTCGTGTGGTATCCTACGCAACCCACGGCATATCTTTTTCTGCACACATACAATATACATACTTTGAGTTTTTCTCTCGCTTCCGCTTCTGGCCTATAGTGGATAGCGCTAGTTCGTGTGTACACAGAGGGAAGAGAGTGCTGAACTCTTCTCGCATTTAAAATCGAAGGCAAAGTACCGCAGGAGGGGATGGTAGAGAGGGGCTCCTCTGCTGTTTGACCACGGGTTGGAGTAAACGGCACTAGTCTATACTTGTACTAGTGCTGTGAGCCCAGATTTCAACTGAAAAAAAAAAATAATAATAATACATGCCCTTGCCCATTACTTCGGTGATAGTTCATTCATTGTTAATCTACCCTTTTTGCTAACTCGAACCAGGGGCATGATAAAAGATATTCTGACGTGTTGTTGTTGTTGTTGTTGTATGCGTAGAAGAGAGCAGCAGCGTGCGACATCAGACAGTAATATGTACTCCCCAAACCCAAAAACAATTAATTAAATCAAACACCCCTATATATAAATTCTTTCATTATGTACTCCCCAAACCCAAAAACAATTAATTAAATCAAACACCCCTATATACAAATTATTTTATATGTACTCCCCAAACCCACAAACAATTAATTAATTAAATCAAACACCCCCATATATATTTTGTACCAATAATTATGCACTCCCTAAACCCAAAAACAATTAATTAAATCAAACACCCCTATATATACCTTTCGCTCTCCAACCGCAAAAAAACGGATCCCCTATTTTTTTTTTTACGGTCTTGAAAAAATGCCCGGGGCCATGCAGTGTTGGGTTTTGACCCGCCGCCACCGCCGCTGGTAGGCCTGGCACCACCCATCGTACTACTTCCAGGGACGACGTAGTAGTGCAATAGTATGTCTACTATCTATGTTGTAGGTTCGCCAAGGTTCGCCCACGGCCGTCTTCTTGTTTTCTCCCTTCCTTCCTCTACGCCGCCACGTTGGTTGATTTGAGGTTTTAACAACAACAACAACAACAAGATGGCGTGCAATGTTCTACTGCCTATTATTATTCCCCCATGATTTCTTCACCACTACTGGCGTGCCAGCACGCCGAGGAGTGCGTGCACGCGGAACATGCACGCCACCGCCACACAAAATGTTGACGGAAAACAACCATCGATATGTTTGGCTGCCTGTGTGTTACGTATACAACAAGCGGCCGTTCCGACAACCTTGGCGTGCTGTGTTTGAGATCCAAAGCAATCAATCTTGGACACACAAAAATTCGCGAGCACAGCACACTCGGAGTGGCACGCTCACGCGGGACCACAGCAGCAAGCACCGCCTCCTGATACCCCTACTATAACAACCCATTGTCACGGGGATCGATCTACGTAGCTGAGCCAAGCTATGCAACAACAACTCGTTCACTTTCGGTGCTGCCGCCATTGCCGCCATTGTTTGCAACCAACCTCAGTTTTCTCCAGCTTCGTTCGTCATAACCGAGACGTGAACCTTGCATCCAGGGGCGGGGCTTGTCCGCCTACCTCGAAAGATTCTAACGTTGCACCAGCAGAAGTTTCTGAGAAGGTTTCGACACACGCGTCACGAAGGTTTGTTTTTCTCTCCGCAGTCAAAATTCTTCCGCATGGACGACAAACCATCCCCGACGACGAAGACGACGGCCACACAGAGACTACAGCAGTCCGGACGCCGGTACCCTTCTCGTCGTCGTTCGCCGGCGTGATCAGTGACGTGAACCGCGCTCTCCCTATCGCCTCTGAGAGGAGAGGGGCATCCTGTGAGCTCCTGTCCTTCGTGCAGCCCCCGCTTGATTCCGCCGTGACTCTTTTGCTCTTCTTGCCCGTTTTGTGGTGCATCGCCCCAAGGACGCCGGAACGATCTACACGCTAACCCCGGCCGCTGGCTGCTTGGCGTGGCTAGATGTGAGTGTGGGTTGGCGGGAGATAGATGTGCTCGTTGGTTTGTGACTGGCTTCGCCGGCTGTGGGTGCACGGATCGGCGCAGTCACAGGTGTACCAGAGAGATGAGAGCTGCAAAAAAGAGCCTGGCGCTTTATGTAGGTGGAGCGAGAGGTGATGATGATGTATTCAACGTTCAAGGACATATGTGTCTAACAAACACCAGTGGCGCCCATATTCCCTTCCTCCGCCGAGGCGCGTCCCGAGCGTTTTGATTTCCCCCCTACGGCCTAGAGAGCTAGAGAGCACCCCCCCGGAAACACACGCGATTTGTTGTGTTATCAATAGATAGCCATTCGACATGGTTCAAGCGTGGATTCGGCGCTTCGCCGCAGCCAAGAAAAGCTCTCTCGCGGGAAAAAACACGATACACAATCGCGCAGTCTGCAATGGGAGGAGGGCAACATACACAGACATACATCTCGGCGTTTCGATAAGAGATACTCCGACGCGACTCTGTCGTAGGATTTTGTTTGCAAGGAGGAGTGAGTGGCGCGTGCGGCTTCATATAGCGCGGTTTTCTCCGTCTGCAGCAATACCTCAGAGAGAGAGAGGCTGCTCGATGGACTGCAGCAGCAGCGCATTTCCAACCCATGTCTTCTTCGCAAGACCCGAAAACAATCCACTTGGAAGATACATTTTGTGCACACAGCATCCGCACCCGAAAGCGCGAAAGCCGTCGTTTTTTCTCGGCAAGAAGAACGACTTGGGAGAAGTGCAGCAACATGCGTGGCGATCGGTCAGATCCTCGCGGAGGGTTATGCTTTTCAAGAAGAACCCGACCAACATTATTTGATCTTCTCTCTCGACTCCGTACCGCCGTACATATCATAACAGTTGTCTACGACGACGGGCGAAAAAAAAACAGAAAAAAGTCCGGGAATTAATAAATTGTAGCGGGCGATTTTTTTTTTATGGACTTGCTGTAGGGTTTCTAGCAGTAGTGGTTTCTTTGATGGATGCACGTGTTAGCCTGCGAGAGTAGGTGCGCTCAACTTGCGTAAATACATATAATATGTACACACGTTTTTGGACTTATGCATACAGTCGAGGGACCCTTTAAGTGCCGGTTGAATAGTGCCAGATGCCCGGTATAGTGCCGGTAAAATCTCTGCACACAGGCGGAGCTCTCAATAGTGCCAGACCGGCACTAATGAAAGCATGCCCGATATAGTGCCGGTTCGGCACTGCTGTCACCCCCAATAGTGCCGGTACTCCGCACGCGCGAAACACACACACGCACAACCCAGGGCAGAAAACATAGACTCCACACACAGAAATAGGGTACACGTGCTGCTGCAGACCCGAACAGCTCTACACAGGGGCGTACCACGCCCTGTGCGGAAGGTGAACTGTGCCAACTACAGGACACCACGCCGCAAGACCCTCATGGTCACGGCTGCCAGGGAGGATGTGGCAGGCGACTGCACGGCATTTGCGGCAGTGTGGTTGATGTAGGCAACGAGAATCACCGCATCTGCAGCGCGTGCGTCACTAGAGAAAGCCCGGAAGACCAAGATGCGCCAGGCAGACATGAGGGAGTTTGTTGCTACGGAGTAAGGGCGGGGAACAGCTGTGGCACTAAAAAAACGGTTGTTTGATTTTTGCGGTGCGCTGCCCGTCGTGCATGTCATTTTTTTTTTTTCTTGCAACATGGAAGCGGGTGCGCTAGGCAAAAAGGAGAGAATTTGTCCCGACGTACAGTAGTGAGGGCAGGGGTTACAGCTGTGGTAACGGTTGTTTGCGGTGCGCTGCCTGTCGTGCTTGTCGGGGTTTTTTCTTGCAACATCGAAGCGGGTGCGCCAGGCAAACAGGAGAGAATTTGTCCCGACGACAGTACACAAAGCAAATAAGTGAGGTGCAGAAGAAAATGAAGAACCAAAGAGCGCCCCAAGACAACAAAAAGAAAACTCAACTCTGCCCACGCCCATGCTGGAACTTCACTCAACAGTACAGTAATAGTGTCGATCCATTTCGTTCTTTGTTGGCCCCGTAAGCGTGGGCGCTACACCATAAATTGAACACAACCTCATTAGTGCCGGTACCGGCACTAATGAGGGATTGGCCAGCCCTCAATAGTGCCGTTTTGGCACTATTCGCAATAGTGCCGGGTGCCCGATTTAGTGCCGGTGAACGCTCTGTGCACGTACCGGCACTAAAAGGGTCCCTCGACTGTACATTGATGCATACCCTTGTTTTTTGTGATTTTGCGGGTGGGTTTGGAGACGGCGACAAAAAAAATAACTCACAAAAAATAAACGCGTTTATTTTTGCAGCAAAAGCAGCCAGTGTGGACTGCTGCTGCCGACTGACTGTTGTGAATGCAGGTACCAGGTGATGCATACCCCGGCTGGTGCGTCCAGAATTGTTTGTATGCATACCGAAAGGCATAGGTACCGACGTATATATGCATATATGCCGACGTATCCTACTTCGGAATAAATAAATGCGATGGCACCCGAAACGTGTATTTATCCGACATCGTGCAGTGTGCGCACGTGCGCACTAATCTCCACCTCCACCTGTGCTGCATGTATGTGTACCACGTGCAGACCAGTAGGACATATACATGTGGCTCAGGGCATGCATATTGTTGTAGTTGTTGTTGTTGTTGTCTTCACATTATCACTTGTACACAACGTTTATAGAGAGAGGTAGCCATGCACCAGCACCGGCAACAATGTGTCCATGTACGACAAACAAACATGGAAGGAAGCAGTCTGGGTCTTCCGTGCACAACAAGGGCCTTGCCAAAGTGGTGTGAAAAAGTTGTTGCGTCGAGCGTAGAGAAGCAAAATATGGCGACGACGACAAACAGCGTTATTTAAGAACAACAGCAGTCGTTAGGCCGGAGTCACTCGGGCAATTATCTTGGTATGTAGTAGGTATTGTGCCGGTCCCGGTCCGTTACCCTCGTCCGTTATTATGCCGTTGTTTACCCTTTGTTCTACCCGAATGGAAGAGACAGGAGGTATTTATTTGGTGTTTTCTTCACTCCAGTACAATCATAGTGGCTCCAAAAGTGTAACCAAGGGCTCCAGTACGTATGTACGTTCATCTGTCTCGAGGACATTGTTGCAAGGAGGAGAGTGGGTGGCGCGTGCGGCTTCGTATATTGCGCGGTGTTCTCCGTCTACAGCAATACCTCAGAGGCTGCTCGTCGGACAGCAGCAGCATCAGCATCAGCGCATTTCCAGTCAGTGCATTTCTTCACAAGCACCCGAAAAAAAATGCTCCGTAAGTACTACTTCTGTACTTGTGGTACGTACTCGAACAGCGGTGTTATTTGCTGCTGCGGCTAATCGCACGCAAGAGCTTCTTGGCTATTTGTCTTGTGTGTTCCGATGAGATGTATGTATGTTACACAACGCAGCAGCAGCTAGCTGCGGCGAACAGCGACAGCACAACTCAGCCGGCAAAAACAACGGCGAGAGAGCAACAAACACAGTTTATTTAGTTACTGGAGAATGCCAACAAACTTCCAAATATCAATCGCAGAATGAACTTGACCGTAAGAAGAAGGTGCTCAGTTGAGAGGCCTAGTCTACTGTAGAACCTATATAGTCGCCATGAGGGTAATACCGCATGTAATGTTACGAAATTAAGAAACCATCCTCGGCCAAAATAAGAGGGTTGTATGCATTAGTGGTGGCGCGTTCTGTAGGACTACACGAAGCGTGGCGGGGGGGGGGGGGGGGGGGGGGGTTTTTCCCCCCCCCCCCCCCCCAAAAAAAAAAGTTTTTGGGGGGGGGGGGTTCCCCCTGTTTCCCTGGTTCCCCAGGCTT